TGAAAAGTTTAAAAGTACTCACAATGGCAAGACTGCAGAGAAATAGAATGCTTATACACTATCGTAAGGAATGGTAATGAGTTCAGTCATAGTGGAAAGCAGTTGAGAGATTTCTGAAATAACTTAAAATAGAACCACCACTCACCCAAGCAATCCCACTCCTGGGTATATATCTGAAGGAAGCAAATTGTTCTGCAAAAAGACGCACGCACTCCTATGTTCTTGGCAGCATCATTCATGATAGCAAAAACATGGAGTCAACCTAGATGCTCATCACTGTTGGACTGGATGAAGAAAATGTGGTTCATATACATGATGGGATACCACATTCATAAAAGAGAATGGAGTTATGTCATTTGCAGCGAGATGGATTCAGTGAGAAGGTGCCGTCTATGAATCACAAAACGGGTCCTCGCCAGACACCAAATCTGTTGGCACCTTGAGTTGGACTTCTCAGCCTCGAGAACACCAGGAAATACATTTCTGTTGTTTCTAAGTCCCTTGGTGTATGGTATATTTTTCCAGCAGTCCACATATGCTAAGATTGCTGGTGCCTCTGAAGCCCGGATCCCATGCTTGGAGGAAGTCTAAGTGTTGCAAATCCTGCTAGGTATGAGTGGGATAAAAAGTGTCACACAAATCTCCTCCTTCATGAACGGGCATGATCTGACCTCAGTGCCTCACAGGGTGTCATCCCTCAGCCCTGTCAGAGCTCCTGCTGAGCCAGCACCCCCTGCCACCTGTGCACAAGTGTTTTGAGCCTGAGGTTTTCAGATCCCAGCAGCACCTCTTGTCTGATGCCTGTGGAGGGAGCCACCCCCCAATTTCAAATGTGTGAGTGAAGACCTGATCATGTTGTTTTAATCCATTAAGTGTTGTGGTATCTTTTCACACTGCCCTAGATGAACAGAGTGCAGTTTTCACAATATCGGTGAGAAATTGGACGTGTACATTTTTTGGGTGTGTGTAAATCTCAGCTTCTCTAAAACGTTGATGAAATAGTACAGAACTTTTTCAATTTGTTCCCAAAGTGTCACAAAGAGCCCATTGTGGTGGGGGCATGCAATTGTGGACTCTTTGGAGTGACTGAGGAACCCTGTCTCACCCATTCTTATTTGAATTTTTCCTGTGGGGAGCAGGGGTAGGGTGGGGTCCAGGTGGAGTCTCAAGCTCTCCCCTCAGTGACAGACTCAGAGGAGGGCGTGGGACTCCAGAATTGGCTGAAACAACGGAGAGAGAAGTAGGAGTTTTCTCCTGGAGATCAGCTATGAAAATCAGGGGAAAATGACCACAATTCACATTGCTGTCATCTGGGGAGAGACTTCAAGTTAAGATCAAGAGAAAAACATGGGAAAAAAAGGTAAAGACAACAGGGTGACTCATGATTAGACTCCTTGGATCAGGCATTTTATGAAGCCAGAATTCTTTCTTTTCTTTTCTTTTCTTTTCCTCTTTCTTTTTTTTTTGAAACAGAGTCTCACTCTGTCACTCAGGCTGGAGTGCAGCGGCACGATCTCGGCTCACAGAAACCTGCACCTCCCAGGTTCAAGCGATTCTCTTGCTTCAGCCTCCTGAGTAGCTGAGATTACAGGCATGCGCCACCACACCCAGCTAATTTTTCTGTTTTCAGTAGAGATGATTTTCACCATGTTGCACAGTCTGGTCTTGAACTCCTGACCTCACGATCCACCCTCCTTGGCCTCCCAAAGTGTTGGGATTACAGATGTGAGCCACTGTGCCTGGACCAGAATTCTTTCCTAATTTTCAGGTGTGGCAGTCAAAATGTTAACTCAGCTTGCTGTGGTTTCTTAAATATGAGTGCAAAACTCTGCTAATATGCCTGAAAAAGATTAAAAAATTATCCAGATAAGAGAACCTGAGGCAAAATGGTGCAGTGCATAAGAACAGAAAACGAGAGCAGACGACAGGTGTCCTGGGTGCAGCCTGGGGAAGAGACTGCTGGGTGATTCCCATACACAGCCCTTGGGGAGAACAGCCTTGCTGATGTTGATCAGCAGGGAAGGAGGGACGGCTACGTGAGAAGCTGGAGGACAGTGGGTGTGTCAGCGTCGGGAACTTCATAGTTGATGTTCAGAGATGGAGGAATTCCAGGTGGTGGCAGGAGTTAGGGAGTGGCCATGGGGTGGAGGGCTGGAACGAGGTGGCAGTCCCTGTCATCCAGGAGGACACAGCTTTGAGATGTTGGGAGGCTGGCTTCCAGGAAAAGCTAGAGTGAGCTCTTTCCCTTAGTTTCTTCATGAGTTATTTGTTTTTTAGTGAAAATGGAAAAAATACAGATATTTGTAAAATGGAGTGAGTACTTTTCAGATCTCTTTCCTTCTGGTTTTAGTTGTAAGCCGAGTTTAGAAAATCAGAAAAGAAACAGCAAAATAAACCTGTTTCATTTGTTTTACAAGAAAAAATTCACCAACTCTTTTCAGAAATGTTAAGGAAGCGCTTATTGATGACTTGAAATGGGAGCCAGAACGCTGCAATAGCAAGAGACGTTGGCCCAAACTTTTCTGAAGCCAGTGCGGGAAGGTTAAGCCCTGGGAGAGCTAGCAGAAATGCATTGGAGGTTGGTATTGGGAGTCTTGCAGTGTGATTGGGCCATCGGAGTTTGCTAGTTTGTGCTTACTGGAGTTAGGCTCCTACCTACCTACAGAGACAGGGCTGCTGTCCCCTTGAGTAATTACATTTAAAGGGATGAGGCATCTATCTTATTCCTTATTTCCTTGTCCTGCTGCATGAGTGGCTCATTTCAGGTAGAAAAGGTCTTGTATGTCATTAGTAATCCTAGAGTGTACGTGCATCACAGTAAGCAGTGTTGTGTCTCATCTGAGGCCGAGCAAGTGGCCCTGGTTGTTTGGAGACCCTCACACCTCTCCCTGAATTCTCTGTCCTAGAGTTTGCAGCTATCATCGCCCACCCTAGACTGCAGGAGCAGAAGCCACATGTGGTGCTCCCAGTGTGCCTTTATCCACACAGAGGAGCAGGGAGGCTCCGTCCTCATCTGGCCCCTTTCCCTTGGATTGATGGGTGCTTCTCAGCACTTCAGCCTGAATTCTCCTCCAACCTTCTGTCTGGCAACATCCATTCCTCTAAATTCAGTGGAGGTTGACCCTCATCCTGCATAGCTCTTGCCCTGATACCATTGGGTCCACCAAACATTTTACTCTGCTTCTTCTTTTAATCTCTCCATGTTTTAAAAGTATTCATGTTGTACTTGAAGATTCACATGAAATCTTTTTGCCACCTCTAGCCAGAATGGCCTCTTTCTTCTAAAGTCCTAAAGCTTCATGACACCAAATCGTACCCATGATGATTTTTCATCTTTCAGCCTTGAATGTTTTTATTTATTTTGTTTTTTAAAGGTGTATTGTCATAGGGTCTAGAGACATGGGCTGCTGTACCTCTGTTGAATTTAGCTTTCTTATGGAATTTAGTAGTAACAATTCATAAATGATTTTATGTTGTGATGTGCTATTAGATGTAATTAGTTAATGTAATCAGAATTAATTTATTAACCCCCTACTTTATGTTGCAGTCATCCATGCACTCTGGTACAGCAATAAGCAAAACATGCAGCTTCCCTTCTAGATAAGGAGGCAAATGTTACAGATAGTACGTGAAGTGTACAGGGGGTGAGATGGTTGCAATTCTATAGTTAGCAATGAGGAAAATCTGGGGAATGGAGGTGACTGGAGGAACTTGTTGCAATTTAAAATGGAGAGATCAGAGAAGACCTCAGTGACCAAATGAAGTTTTAGCTGAGACCTCAGATGCTTGGGAAGAAGCCAGGTGGACCTCTGGCAGATGCCCCAATATATGGTCATCTTGACCCAGTTCATAGTTCAGAATAATATGGAAAGTTAATTCAGGGACCACATGATTCCAGGTCTGTGGCAGTCACCAGAGCCCAGAGAAGGCTCCTGGGCTTCACAACCTGCTTCCCTATTTGTGTCCTTCACTGTCTAAACAACAAGTCTGGGATCATTACCCACTCTGTCCTCCCTGGGGTCTGCGCGGACTTCCCATCCATGCAGTGTCTTAGTGGGTACCTGGACCCCTGAGCTGCCTCAGCACCCTGCAGCAACAAGAAGGCCTCCATGTTCCTGGTGTAATGCTTTCCCTCCCTCATCCCTTCTCCCCTCTGAAGCTGTATTTTCCAGGCAGAATCAGGTTCTCAGCAGCTTTAGGGCAACACAAGGGAGGGCACATTGCAAAGTGCAGTGGAGCATTTGTGCGTGTACATTTTCTGGGTGTGAAGAACACTTTATGGGTGTGAAATTCTGGTGTTAGTAGACCTGGCTGGATGATGTTCTTAATGAGGACATCCTGGTGTGGGCTGCTGTGCTTTCTGTTCCATGCATTCTGCCTTTGCTAACAACCCACTTCTCTTCTAATGAAAGTTGCTTCAGTGGATCTCCTGTAGCCCAATGTCTTAAAATGCAAATGTGTGACCTGGACACATTCAATAAAACTCCAGTTCTTTAGCACAGAGGATGCTGGTTTCTTCAGAGGAGTGATTTTGTGACTACATGAACTTTAAGCTGACAACAATTGTTTGCCCAGCACATGGGAGTTCTTTGAGAGTGGATCCAGAGAAAATGAGGCAGAGTGAAAGGTAGAGCAGTGGATGGGGAGATTGATGGTGTGATTTGGGCCTTCATTTCCATTTGAGTCTGAAGCCCCGACTCCTGCTTGAAATTCCTAGAATTTGGAATTTTGTTTTGTTTAAAACTTATGATTCTGGTAGATGCATCCCAAGTGTCTTCAGATGCAAAGACACATCAAATATGAGAGATGTAAAGACAGAAATCTTGCGAGAACGTATTTATTTGGGATGAGAAAAGGAAATTGAGGACAAGGTACAGGAGTAACAAGAATTTCTTTCAACTCTCAAAGTAACTTCTGAGCGTATTTTTCTTGATTCTGGAAGCTCAGCGGCAACAGATCCGACAGAGTCAACCACGAAAAGCGCAGGACCCCAAACGCCTTTATAACAGTTGGCAAACTCCTTGTCTGCAAATGCACCTCAAGCCTTTCGCTGACTCTGGGGACACAGAGAAAGCATCATAAATGGATCAGAAGGTCAGCAGTGAGTGACAAAGGGAATCCTGGAGAAGTCATGTGCTAGCTAATGAGGGATGTCGGCTGCAATCGGGCCGGTAGCATGAACAACCTCAGTCAATAGGAATAAATACACAGAGCAGTGCTGGTCACACAGGATTTGAGACTTATTCTCATTTGCTCTCATTTTTATGCCTCTACCCCATCACACACACACACCTGAACACTCTCTTAGGCTTATCTCTACTCTTAGAAACGGTTGTATAGATACAGTCAAATATTCTCCGTGTAATGAAGATGACTTGTTTGAATCAAGAAAGAACATCAGACTGTCTCTTCATGTCTTAAACCTACTGAATTTCACAGACATATGTTGATTTCAAGTTTTATTTTTTATTTTTATTGATTCTCTAAAGTGAAAGGATTATTAAGGAAGTAAAGGAATAAAAGAATGGTTACTCTCCAGGCAGAGCTACCTCAAGTCTTTATAGACAGAAAACCTGTTAGACTTCTTTGGCTTTCTATTCGATTTATAGATGAGAAAACCAAGACCCAGAGATGCTAAATGAAGCCATCTAGGTGACATGGACCACTGAGACTCGATTCCCGACTCTGTCTCCCATCCATCCCTCTAGACCCTGCAGCTCTGCATGCCGGCCTGTCTCACCTGAAAGCGGAAGAGCGGCGTTTTCAGGCCGTGTAAAGGAATGAGCCATTCCCTGATCATCTGCTCCAGGCTGCTGCTGGGCGGCAGCTTCATCAGCTCTTGCCTGGCGTGCCTCTGCCTGAGCCTGCAGGGCCACCAGGAGAAGCATGGCGGTGAGGAGGGCAAAGGTCCTCATGGCTGGAGTGACCTGGAAGAGGCAGAGCGGGAGCGGACAAGTCGGGAGAGAGGAGTTAGCCTGGATTTCTATGTCTGCAGAGAGAAGGCTCAGAGACAGGAAACCTTGAACCTTCTCAGCGAGAGGAGGTGTGCATTTCGTTGGAGATTGTGTGGGATCCCATTGGTCTCAATGTCCATGTTTTCTTCTTTTGCTCTCCCAGCTTTCACTCTAGTTTGAATCTCTATGTTTAGTGTCTGTGCTGGTGGAGAGGATGGTGAAGATGAGGAACCTGGCATCTTTCTCTTGTTTCTTACTTCATTACATATTTACTTTTTACTGTTCTACCAAAGGATAACAGCAGTGCTTTGTTCAGTAAGTTCAGGATACAAATGTCTCCTTTCCTTCAGATGGCCCCACTACTCTCTATAGGTCTACACTCTGGCAGCAGGCATGAATTTCCTGTCAAGTGAAGAGTGATTTGTTGCAGGCATCATAGGCATGATCACTCTCATGAAGGCATGAGGTGTGTAGCCTCCTGTAGGGGCCAGTGTGAAGAGGACAATGACCCTATCATGCGATAGGTGAAATGAACACAGTGATATCAAGGTCAAAATTTCATCTACACTGAAAAATTCATTTCCAGCTCTATAGAGATGTGAATAAGAATGAAAAATGGTATATATCTACTGTACTCCACCTTAGGATTTGATGTTTGTATACATGTGGTCCTTTATCATATACTATATACACAAACCAACTCAAAATGGATTGAAGACTCAAACATAGTCCTGAAACCGTAAAACGACGAGAGGAACATATGAAGATAACGCTTTGACATTGATGTTGGTAATGATATCTTTGCTATGACACCAAAGACACAGGCAATAAACGGGAAAAGAGACAAGTGGGGCTGCACTGACCTCTAAAGCAAATGCACGTCAAAAAACAAACCAACAAATAAATAATCAACTGAGTGAAAAAGCAACTCAGAAAATGAAAGACAATAGTTGCAAACCCTATGTGGTAGAAGGGTGAACATCTAAATGCATAAGGCAATCAAACAACTCAGTAGCAAATAAGAAATAACCTGATTGAAAAACAGGCCGAGGAGCAGGATCGGCTTCTCTCCAAATAAAAGGGTGTTTTAAGGAGCTGTTGTTGTCTCTGTTGGATGTGTCAAGTAGGACACGTGTAATTAGAAGGAAATTTCTTGAGTTTCTCTATTAATTGAGCTGGTAGCCAATGCTCCCAGCAGCCCCCAGAGGTTCAGAGAGAAATGCACAGCAGGGGATTCACCCACTAGGTCCCTCTGGGGTGGCCTGGGAGTCACAGGTCAGATTGAGGGCACAGCTTCAGTGTTCAAACCTCGACAGGAAAGTTTAAGTTTTGTGTTACTTACAGATCTTCAAGTTAGGCAGAGTGAAGAGAGAGGGCAGACAGCAGTCCTCTGTCCCGGGTCTCCTGTAGCAAGAGCAGCCGTGCACAAACAGCAGAGGACTTCCCTATTTAAGAGTCATTTGGGATCAGGTGTCCTAATATCCTGGGTTACTTTCCGTTGGGTATATTAAATAACTCTTTTGGTAAGGGCAGTTGAGAAATTTGGTGGGAAGCTGGGGTTCGGACAGGAGTCTAGGGAGGGTCCCCTCATCTGCCTTGGTCAGCCCTGGCCAGGCCCAGGCAGCAACCAACGATGGATTCTCCATGACTCCTAGGATAATGAACCCCGAGGTGCCTGTGCTGGTGGCTGAGGCTGAGCCCGCTGCAGCAGGGGAATATTTAAAGTCCCCAGGAGAGCCTGGCCGGCATCTCACAGGATACACTTTGTTAGAGAGGCAAGAACACAATCACTATTCACAGGAGAGGATGAGGAATCTTGCCCCGAACCAGCCTCCCCAGTACCTGAGTTCTCACCATTACAACACATCAAAGCCGATGGCTGGGCTGGGATGTTGCAGACCACCTGGGGGAGACTGAATCCCACCTCAGCTTTTGTTTCCAGGCAGGGCAGGTTCTGTTGGGTTCGTTAAGGATATGCACACAGCATGTGGTTCCCTGGAGCGGACAGTTGCCTCATTGCTTGGGCAATGGACAGTTTAAGGCTAAACGAATGTCTAGGACCATTGTAGCCGGGGACTCCTGAGTTTGCTGCTTGAGACCTAATGTCTCTTGGAAATCTCTCAGTGAGGTGGTCAAGGTGGCAGCGAGATTGGTGTTAGCTTGGATCACCTGGTGCTGTGTGCTCAAATACCTTATTCCATAGCCGATTCTGGGCAGGCTTAAGAGTCTCCATACACACAGTGTGAGTGGGATGATCACTGGTCGCTTGAGACATGCAGAATTGAGCTCCTGTGGTTCTTCCTGTGTTATTTGAGGAGAATTCCTAGGAAGACTAGAGCACATTTTACGATGTACCAATATCCACTCTCCTCCTCCTTCTCCTAGTGAGGTAGATGGGATAAGGTTTCTGAAAATGAGAAAAGAATGCAGTCACTCCTGAGGCAACAAATACCTATGGTGAGGCTGCTGAACCCAGTGTGCAGGCCGGGCAGCCCCTGCCGCCATGGGAAGGTCGTGCACAGCGCTGGTCCCACAGGCTGGGTGCTCAGCGCCTCCCCTCCAGCTCTGTGTGAAGGCAGCAGGCACTGGGCTGTGGAGGACTGGGGGCAGTGGAGTGAGAGCTGAAGCGTATCCCTCAACTTTAAGTAAGGAGGAGGCGTCTCAAGCCTTGCTGGGGTGGTCGCTGTGGCAGAGCAGTGGGGTCAGCTGTCCCTCTGAGGAACAGTGAGTTCCTGATGAGTGGAGGCCCAGGAACTTCAGCACTGGAGGAAGTCAGCACCAGTCTTATCGCAGCATAAGAAGAAATTTGGGCTATTTGGGGAAACTTAAGGCTTGGTGATGGTTTTAGGTTCCAGGGCATTAGTAGGTGCCTGTAGGGTCACAATGATGAGGTTATGGGGACAAAATATGAAGGGGTGTGTATGAGCGAGAGGAAGATCTCCAGGTTCTGGATATGCCCCGTATCCTACGGAAGTGAAACCTGGACCTGCTTCCTGCACACAGAACACACTCCAGTCCACAGGCATTTCCCCAGCACTGCATGAGTGTTATGACTGGAGAGCTGTTAGATTCGGGCATGGGATTCTGACACACAGGTCTCCCAAGTGTGCAGTTTTTGCAAAGCTTGTAGGGCAGCCTTCCAATCTTACTGAGGCTCTATGGGTTCCTTGCACCATAAGGTAATGGGATTATACTGAAAGCAAATGGTGATCTCAGCAAAATTCTACTGTAATGAGGTCATTTTTGGGGTAATCATCAAAGCTTGCGTTCAGGGAAACAGCAAGGCAAGGGTTAGGGTAATGGACATGAGCCAGCGCCATGTCCTGGAGATGTCGAGGTCCATACCTGTAGCAGTAAGGAGAGGCTGGTTGGTGGTGATCTCGTGGGCAAAGTGATTTTCCTCTACAGGGAACTTAAACAAATAAGTAAGTAACAAAGAAATGACCCTTTTAAAATGTGTTCCAGGGACTGAACAGATACTTCTCAAAAATAGACATACAGGAGGCCAAGAAACATGATATTCATAAAATGGAATGAGTACTTTTCAGCTCTTTCCTTCTAGGTTTGCTTGTAAGCCGAGTTTAGAAAATCAGCACAGTAACAGCAAAGGATACCTATTTCATTTATTATACAGGTAAAAATTCACCAAGATTTTTGAAAATGTGAAGGAAGCGCTTACTGAAGACTGTTGAAATGTGAGTCAGAACGTTGTAATAGGGAGAGCCGTTGGCCTCAAGTTCCCTGAAGACAAAGCCAGGGAAGGTTGAGCCCTGGGAGAGCTAGCGGAAATGCACTGGAGGTTGGTATTGGGAGTCTTGCAGTGTGATTGGGCCATCGGAGTTTGCTAGTTTGTGCTTACTGGAGTTAAGCTCCTACCTACCTACAGAGACAGGGCTGCTGTCCCCTTGAGTAATTACATTTAAAGGGATGAGGTATCTGTCTTATTCCTTATTTCCTTGTCCTGCCACATGAATGGCTTATTTCAGGTAGAAAAGGTCTTGTATGTCATTAGTAATCCTAGAGTGTACGTGCATCACAGTAAACAGTGTTGTGTCTCATCTGAGGCAGAGCAAGTGGCCCTGGTTGTTTGGAGACCCTCACTCCTCTCCCTCAATTCTCTGTCCTAGATTTTGCAGCTATCATCGCCCACCCTAGACTGCAGGAGCAGAAGCCACATGTGGTGCTCCCAGTGTGCCTTTATCCAACAGAGGAGCAGGGAGGCTCCGTCCTTGTCTGGCCCTTTCCCTTGGGTTGACGGAGACTTCTCAGCACATCAGCCTGAATTCTCCTCCAACCTTCTGTCTGGCAACATCCATTCCTCTAAATTCAGTGGAGGTCGACCCTCATCCTGTGTAGCTCTTGCCCTGATACCATTCTGTCCACCAAATATTTTACTCTGCTTCTTCTTTTAATCTCTCCATGTTTTAAAAGTATTCATGTTGTACTTGAAGATTCACATGAAATCTTTCTGCCATCTCTAGACAGAATGGCCTCTTTCTTCTAAAGTCCTAAAGCTTCATGATGCCAAATCGTACCCATGATGATTTTTCATCTTTCAGCCTTGAATGTTTTTATTTATTTTGTTTTTAAAGGTGTGCTGTCATAGGGTCTAGAAACATGGACTGCTCTACCTGTGTTGAATTTAGCTTTTTCCTACAGAATTTAGTAATAACAATTAATTAATAATTTTGTATTGTGATATGCTATTAGATGCAATTAGTTAATGTAATCGGAATTAATTTATTAACCCCTTACTTTATGTTGCAGTCATCCATGCACTCTGGTACAGCAATAAGCAAAACATGCAGCTTCCCTTCTAGATAAGGAGGCAAATGTTACAGATAGTA